TAAGCCCAGCTACTGCTAGAACTAGGAGTTGAAACCACAGGTAGCCAGGGGATTTTTTTAGGTAAGGATCACATAAATAAAATTTATAAAGTAATAATACCAGAGATTGTTGATCCAGGGCATATCTGATTGCTTTAGTGCAGGGGTGCCCACAATTTTTGTGTTAAGATCTACTTTTCAAATGACGAGCTACATGAGATCTACCAACAACAACAAAAAACTCCCTCGCTCTACTGCCTCCAGATTTTTTTATTTTTTTTTAAACAATTAAAAGTGGACGGGTGAGTGGGCAGGTCGGCATTAGTATATGCAACTTAAAGACCGATTTTACTTGTCTCCTGAAAATGCTTTTTAAATATGCCAAGAATTTGCCAATTGCTGGATAGTGTCGCACTCACCAGTTCCCCACCGGGCAAGTTCACAGATGAAAGCAGCAACACAGAGTCCAGGCGTGCATTGGTATCCACTTTCCATCGCTTCTGCTGAACCTGCAGGAACAGATTGTAAAACACTACACCCCTTCATGAAGAATTATAATCAAGAGTCATTTTATAGAAAAAGCCACAATTTAACAAGCTCTAGTTATAAATATTTCTCCATGTAAACCTGTAACCGTGTACGATTTTCTATCACTGCCCAAACAAAATCTCCAACTTCTCTTTCGTGCAACCATGACAACAGGATTCAGTCTGCAGTCAGAATTACCCAAAACTCTTATCCCCCGATCCTGTAATTGGCCCACTACCTATCCTGGAGGGCTGCACAAGGCTTAAGGTCCAATCAGGTGCAGCCTCTGCATGGAAGATAGTGTCTCCTGACAATGTCCTTCGCATTCACTGTATTGGGAATTTCATCTTAGGTGATATATATGCAAAGCGCACAGAACATGTGGAGGCTGGACTAATCATGTGACGATGTAGAAAAGCAGCTCAAGGCCTGCGATAATGTTTAATATAGTTCTTACACAGTATAAAGTTAAAGCTTATGTGAAGTCTAAGTAACAGGCAGACTCTTACTTTGTATACATCTCTGTGTATTTGAGAAGACAGTTTAAACCACAACAAAAAAAGATTTCTATACAGCAGTCACAGCTTTTTTTCGATCCCTCTTCTGTAGGGTGGGGGCATGGTTAGAAAGAAAGCCAGTCCCATGATGTATTGCTGCATTTCATACAGTGTTCCCCCAGCAGAGCTGGCCCAGGGAGGGAGGGGTGGGTGTCAGCTATGCTGACTACGAAACCACGGGCATGCTGTGCGAGTGCATGACATCCTGGAAATGTCCAATTAGCAGATAAAATGACGCAAACTGACCACTTTGGCATGGATCTACTTCCATACTTAGAGTGGTTAAAAACCTGACCACAAGCCACGAGAATCACAAGGGACTAAGTGTACATTTTATTCAGTGTAAAAGTAAAATGAAATAATAAGTTGATTGAGGGACAGAGGAATGTAGTCTCAATGTTTTACTATCAAGGGTTAAATACACTTTAACCTGCAAAAGAGTTGGTCCCCCACAACAAAACTGAAGCCTTATTGGGAATCAGTGGGCCAGATTAATGATGTGTTCATTAGGGCTGCAGCTAACGATTATTTTCATAATCGATTAGTTAGCCGATTATTAAGTTCGATTAATCGGATAAAAAAAAAAAAAGGCTCCAGTGATGGACTACTAGTTTCTATTGAGATTGTAGTCCATCACGGGAGCAAGCTTGGCACGGTGGAAGTAAAAAAAAAAAAGTGTGGCGTGCAATATAGTACATTATACAGCGGCACAGTGCAGAATACCAGAGGCTATAGAGGAATGCAGCAATAATACATTATACTATAATGTACTATTGCTGGGATTTGTAGTCCTCTGTAGCTGGTGTTATTCTGCATTGCGCTGTATATAATGTATTATTGCTGCGATTTGTAGTCCTCTATAGCTGGTGGTATTCTGCAGTGCGCTGTAGAATGACTATACGGCACAATGCAGATTAGTGGCAGCTATAGAGGAATACAAAAAATGCCAGCAATAGTACATTATACTATACTATTATGTATATAATGTATTATTGCTGGGATCCGATGTATTCCTCTATAGATGGCGTTATTCTGCATTGCGCTGTATATAATGTATTATTGCTGCGATTTGTAGTCCTCTATAGCTGGTGGTATTCTGTAGTGCGCTGTATATTGATTATACGGCGAAATGCCGTATACCAGCAGCTATAGAGGAATACAACAAATGGCAGCAATAGTACAACATTATACTATAATGTACTATTGCTGGGATTTGTAGTCCTCTGTAACTGCTGGTATTCTGCATTGCGTTGTATATAATGTATTATTGCTGGGATTTGTAGTCCTCTGTAACTGCTGGTATTCTGCATTGCGTTGTATATAATGTATTATTGCTGGGATTTGTAGTCCTCTGTAACTGCTGGTATTCTGCATTGCGTTGTATATAATGTATTATTGCTGGGATTTGTAGTCCTCTGTAACTGCTGGTATTCTGCATTGCGTTGTATATAATGTATTATTGCTGGGATTTGTAGTCCTCTGTAACTGCTGGTATTCTGCATTGCGTTGTATATAATGTATTATTGCTGGGATTTGTAGTCCTCTGTAACTGCTGGTATTCTGCATTGCGTTGTATATAATGTATTATTGCTGGGATTTGTAGTCCTCTGTAACTGCTGGTATTCTGCATTGCGTTGTATATAATGTATTATTGCTGGGATTTGTAGTCCTCTGTAACTGCTGGTATTCTGCATTGCGTTGTATATAATGTATTATTGCTGGGATTTGTAGTCCTCTATAGCTGGCGGTATTCTCTATTGCGCTGTATAATGATTATACTGCGCAATGCAGATTACCACTGACTATTTATAGAGGAACTACAAATCCCAGCAATATTACATTGCACAGCGCAATGGAGAATACCACCAGCTATAGAGAAACAACAAATCCCAGCAATAATACATTATACAAGGTGTTTAATGTATTATTGCTGGGATTTGTTGTTCCTCTATAGCTGCTAATGTTCTGCAGTGTGCCGCTTAAAAAAAAAACACAACAGGAAACATTAAAAAGCTACTGGCCGATCTCGACTTACTTTGAATGATGGTGTTGTCCGCGGGCAGCGGCGTTGTTGGTTGCCGGCGGGCAGCGGCGAGTCGGGAAGCTCACCTGTAGACGGGGGCTAGACGCATGTGGTGTGCGTGGAGTAAGCGGGTTTACCGGCGTGTGCCGTGGGCGTGGTACAATCGGCTTAACCGACGTGGGAGTGTCGTGAGCGGCGGGCGGGAAATTTGAATTTTAGCCGACGAATCGACGATGGAAAACGTTGACAACGTTTTCCATCGTCGATTTTAATCGAATAATTGTTTTGCGGCCTGTGCGGTGGGCACGTCGGGCGCAGCGTGTGACGTGTGACTCAGGCCGCCTGTGGAGCCCCGAACAGGCTAAGCAATCGATATCTGACGAATCGACGATCGAAAACGTTGCCAACGTTTTCAATCGGCACTTTTAATCGACTAAATCGATTAACTGTTGCAGCTCTAGTGTTCATGAAGTGCTAACGCACCAACCACGAAAGTAGAAAGACATACATACCTCCGTAACTCTTCCAACAACAATATCGCCAACTTCCCCATTATACCTAGAAAACAAATACATGTTAAATTAAAAAAATGTCCCAACCAGGATTAGCTATACTTCAAATTATTGATTATAAAATATATTTCCTGTATATACATTGTATGGCAGAACAAAAAGACTTGAAAGAAACATGGAGGCCAATTCTTGACCTTTGCATCTGACAATGCTAGCTGCTTGGCTGTCGCACTTACCTTCTTGTTTCCATACATTGTCAGCGACCTAAAATAAAGACTTCTGACTTCCCTGGTCTACGTGATTGTTCCACATTAACTACCTATAGGGGATTCAAGATGGACAACATTTTCTTTGGCTCTTTCAATCTGCATACTTCTTCTTAGTCAGTAACTCAAAGCTATAAAGCCACCAAGTCAGCCTACTACCCAGGCAACCAACATTTTCAGAAGGAGGTCAGCAATGGTAGCTTCCATATTTCTCCATGACAGGTTGGGCTTAAAAGAGAACTATGGGGTAAGTGTTTTTTCCCCATAGTTCTCTCAAGGGTCACGGGAGGACATAGACTAGTGTCCTCCCGTGACCCAAAGCTCAGTATATCGCAAGCTACAGCTCGCGGTATACTGAGACCGCCTCAGCTGGGACGAATCCCGACCTTACTGTCGAGATCCAGCCAGCTGCGCGAGTGACAGCTGGCTCTGCCCATCTAGAGGCACAACCAGCTGTACCCACCACCTCTCCCCCGTCCGTTCCTCTAGTCAGCGCCGGCGCATCGGGGATCCCTGCAGGGAGCCGTGACTAACAGTCACCTCTCTCTGCAGGGACAGGATCGAGAAGCGAGCGACGGTATGTGTTCGCTCACTTCCCGATCTATTGAGCCAACTTGTGACAGTTTCATAGTCACACGTCGGCTCAGACTATGAGGATGTGTGATTTTCAGTCACCTCATAGTTCTCCTTTAAATTTCTAGAAGCAGAGAAACCATAAGTGTTGATTGCCAAATGCAACCAGCAAGCTTTCTTTTCCAACCTGCACTATACACATACATGCCAAATGCGAGTGCTTGGCAAGCACTGGTGGAGCTCTCGAAGAACACTCTAGGGCTATGTGGCTCACCACATATGGGTGCTCAGTGCAGTTCTAATTTGCTGTTAGCCAGGCAAAGCTGATAGTAAAAGTGCCCCTGGTGAGAGGTGGCCATCTTTTTTTTCACATCTCCTCCTTTTCATATCTGTGGATCAAGACAGGATCTGTGCAAGGCATTTTTATCATCAGCTTTAACTATCCAGCAGCAAGGAGGCAGAGGGGGGGGTCTTGCTGTAAATAGGACTTGAGGTCCGCTTTTACAGTTCCTAATTTAAAAAAAAAAAAGAAATTCTGCTTTTAGACCACAGTTCCCAAAAGCTATTTTTTTTTTAACAAAACAGTTTTTGCTAAAATGCACCTAGTGTGCTGTCTGCTAAATCTCCAGCACACGAAGGTCAGTGCTCAGTCTTGATGCACAAAACCATTACATAATCTCACAGTCGGTTAACTAAAAACGGTACTAAACCTCTGACACACTGGCTGCTTCTGTAAATGGTCTGTGAATGTGCACAGTGCATTACAGAGAGTCAAGCTGTGCTTCACGGCAGCTCTGTAAAAATCTTATGCTAGAAAACTAATTATTGTTGGGAGAAGACAGCTGCTGTGGGCAGAGGGTCGGGAGGGGCTCCACCATCAAGCATGCAAACTTCTTTCTTAAAAAGGTAAAGTATGGAGTTTTGCAGTTGATGAACATTTAAACTTTGTACTGTAGTGTTTAAAGCACATTTAAACCCCAAAAATAAGAATGCGATATATTACAGCCTAACAGTCCTTAGATGCAGTGGCTGCATTCGTTTTATTTTTCATAAGCACATTTTCTGCAACCGTCCTGGAAGATGATCTGGGAAAGCCTGAGTAACTACCCCAAGAACTCCATTTCCAAGAATCTTCCAGGATGGTTGACTGGGGAGATGGCTCTTCCCACCTGCAAGAAGCACAAGAGTAGAAAGTTTTAAAGGGTTCCCAGGAGCCAGCGACCCCAGTTGTAGCAAAATAACTGCATTTTTTAGCCAATAAATAAGACAAGGGAGGGAACTTTCTCCACCAACCTGGAGGGTTCCTGGAAAAGGAGTTAGATTCCCAGATCATCTTCCAGGATGGTTGGCTGGATAGAACAGCGAAATGTTATCTATGGCAGGACTATTGGTGGAAGCACTTTTCTTGCACATCCTAATCCTGCTCTGAGTGAATGTCAATTCAGCAGTGCTCCACGAAGGTGTTAAAGTTTCACCATGTAGCTGTTCTGCAGATCCACTCCTCTAAGGCACAGACCCTTTCAGCCAGGACATGGATAGTGATCTGTTGGAGTGTGTGCTGGGACAAGTTTTGCCTGCCTGTTAGGGTTTCTTACCCTTCCTTGTCCACTTGCTTGCAGCATGGTCTCAGTGCGATGATGCAAACACCACATTTTACTATTTACCATCCGCTTGTCCATTTAGTCTGTGCCCTTGGAAGTGTTCTGATCTACCAAGTGCTCTGCAGTTGCTGTACTCCGCGTATGACCCTGGCTCTGGTTGACTGATCTTATGGTTCCTGACTCCGGCTATTGTTTCCGTCCAGCCCGCCCTTGCTACGCTCAGCTGCCGCACTCTACCCGCTGCCGGTTATCCCAGATTCCGCTGTCCCCCCGCGGGCACAGAACCGGCACAGCTGCCTATACTGAGAACGGAGGAGAGAACAGCATTCTCCCACTGCTGATCTCTCCTCCTCTCTCTAAATGCGGAAGCGATGTGCATTACATCACTTCCACCTTTAGCTGTCATTTCCCTGGCTGCTATAGCCAGTGAAGAAGCTGCTGAAGCAGATCCCTTGGGGGTCCCAAGGTGACATTAGGGGTCTTAGAGACCCCTGATGTCTTCATAAAGAGGAACTGTCAATGTATGTCAGCTATCACATTGGGGGCTTGTTATCCCCCTGTGTAATACCGTGTTTCCCCGAAAATAAGACACTGTCTTATATTTTTTTTGGCTCAAAAAAACAAATGGTCTCATTTTCGGGGTAGGTCTTATTTTATTTTTTTAATGTACAACAATCCACACTTATTCATGTAGAAAGGTCTACATGTATTCATGTACAAAAATATGGTGATCAGGGCAATCAGGGGTGCCGTACCTTTCCAAGAGCAATTTGCTAACCAATCGCTGGCCAGAATGAGCGAAGCGCGCTTTCACTATGGATTCCTCACAGGCGGAGTGCATCTGGTATCACTCTGCCTGTGACAGGAGCTGTCGCTATAGAGGAGGCATCGGCTTATGCGGCTCTGCTCCCTCCGGTGCCGCCTTGCTTCCTTGCTATGGCCAATTTTAGGCATGGTAGTTTTTTGCGATTTCGCAGGGGAATGCAATTGTAAAGCTTGACATGCGTCTATTGTGGGGTCTATTAACCCGACTTGACCCCATCTTTTATATTTTATCAAAAAATTGTGTACTAATACATGTTTTATAACATAACGTAGGAAAACCGTTTTGTTTTTTTCAAAATGTTCAGAACTTATTTAATTAAATAGTAAAAAATAAAAACCCAGTGATGATTAAATACCATCCAAAGAAGGTCTATATTTCCTCCAAAAATGGTATAAAATGAATTTCAGTACAGGTTTGCATAAATGTCAGTCAAAGTACCTCAGCGCTGAATACTGAAAAATGGCCTGGCCAGAAGGTGGTTTAGCACCCCGGTCTGCAAGTGGTTAAGTGTCAGGTGCTTAGAAGATGCTTCTTTCAGTAGTTTGAATAGTTAATGAAGTCAAGCTGTCTAGAACTAAAAAGACGGTTCCAAGAAGGGACAGTTAAGATATGAGGAGGCTTGGGTCTCTATAATGCCTTGCTATTGACTAGAGCATCTGTGGCCAAAGATTTGTTGAGATATTCAGACAATTCTGTAACCTTTAACTTGAAGGTACTGACTGCGAGCCCTTCTCTAATCCTCTCTGAAGATATTATTTAAAAAATAAGTGCTGGGTTGCACTGTTTGATCTTCTGTATCACTTTTCCTAGAAATGCTATTTAGTGTAAGCCAGACTAGATTCCCATCTGTAAGCAAAAGCATATAATCCTAGTTAATTCCCTCATGAGCTGAGACAGAAGAAAATGTCTACCTTCTTGTGATGTGGCAAATAATTCTGAGGTAGGCCCCAGCATGTGACTAGGATCTGAATTACCCCTCAATGGAGTTCACACTATCCATGTCTAAGGAGCCTCCTGCTCAGGAGGTCCACCATGAAGTTCCGTGAGCCCTTCATGTTGGTCGCTGTCATGTGATGCTAGGTTTGCTTGGGCCCACTGACAGATAGGGTCCGCCGTCCTGATTTGATGCCTGAACCATTCCGATATGTGACAATTATAGTGTTGTCTAATAGGATCCAAGTTTTCTTAAACAATTGTCTTGAAGACAATGAAGGCTGCGCAATTCTCAGGAGCTGGCGTCTTTGGTGATTTTATTATGTACTGATCAGGTTCAGACTCTGCCTTGAGTCGGAAGTTCTTCCCTGGTGCACCAAAGCAAGAAATCTTTCCAGGAGTTTTTAATCCGAAGAGGACTGTCAACGTCGTCTGCCTGAGAGTTCCAATTCCTCAATATGAGCTCATGAGGTCAGCTTTATGAATAAGTCTACGGTTGAAACATGTGAGAGGTTGTAGCTGGTTGGGGGGGGACGCAGTGCTGGCATTTGTTGCTTTATACACTTTTTTTCACTGTTATACTGGATTTGCTGTGAATTTCAATAGTCTGCAGTATTGGAATTCTCTTGATAGTGCGGTCTGTTCGTATACTACTACATTCCAAGGTGGAGACGCACCTATTAGACCAGCACCTGTGGAGTCCTGATGGTGCCTAAGGAATTGGAGTGGTGAGATTTCCTTTGGCTCTATATTATTAAGCATTGCTTATATCTGAGATGTAATCATACTGCTCTCATAAATAAGCAAACACCTTACAAAGTGTATGCTTTGTTTATGTATTCTATTTCAAATATTAGCCATATCATTAAATTTACAGTAAATCCTGAAACACTTCCTTTCAGTTCCTGCCATTGATGAACATTACAATTTGGAGGGTCAGTCTATTCAGAATTGTTATTTTAGAAAGTTTGGGGGATGCTGAGAGTTAAAAACGCATGAAGCTTTTTATTTCCCTATAGGACTAAATTGGGTGAGATCTCTGTGCAGAGTTCTGGGGTGTGCAGAACTGCTGTGACCATTATAAGGGGATTCAATCTCCCTGCTGGATTTCTTTTTCTTTTATATTATAGACATTATGTCCTCATTGGGGTCTTTATGGACATACACCCCAAGGAGGACAAGGCAGAGATGGGAATTATCAGGGAGATTTTGCCAAGTATCCAACACATACGAGTATCCACGAGTCAATCTAGCACAACAGACTTCACGTATGACTTAACACTCCAGGTTCATGACTGCTTACAGCTCCACTCACCACCGGCTCGCACTCCCTCCCTGGCATCTGTGGTTGCTGGTGCCAGGGTGTACTCACGACTCCACCACATTGCTGTCCATTCAAAGAGGCCCAGGGTTCTACTGAATATAAATATCCACAACATGGCAGCATACATAAGGAGCAGTGAAGGCCACCAACAGTTTCCACCTTTGCTCCACTCTACCAGAAGCAACACAGGGGAGAGCTGTGAGTAAGAGAGGGCTCAACTAGTTACGGATAGCTGCTTCTCCTCAGGGTAGAGAAGGAACCTTGGGGAAAGAGATGGGTAGGAAGGGTCCTACAATTATGAATTATGACAAGAAAGGGCTTAATCCTAGCCAAGACAAGCCCAGGCACGCAACCCCTCCAGGTCCACTGTCCCTGAATCATGGGGGAGCATACACTGGGAGGCCCCTGCAACTAGCACAAAGGCCTATGGAGAAATGCACCTATTAGGCCCGGGGGAAATACAATAACTGAGGTGGTTGGGAGGGACCACACCTTTTAATTGTGGATGATGTCTTTTATGTTTTAGGTGGGTGGATCCGCTCTCTCCTGCACTGTCCTTGAGGGCGATTTGGGACTAACGTACACACCACAGAGTGGAAGACACACATCAGTGTCAAACTTAGGTCAAAACAAAGGTCAGGTAGAATTCACCAATTGCTTCTTCTGTAGTCACAAATCACTGTGTCTCCATGTGGTCATATCCCTGTATAGAAGTACTGTACAGGAACACCCGAGTGACAACATACTCATCAATTTATGGGTTATGTTTAATTAAGTTATACTGTGTAACCTGTTTATCAAAAGACTGTCCCCAAGGAGCTCAGCCAGCTGTACCCGCCCCCTCCCCGTCTGATCCGCCAGTCAGCGCTGGCGGATCGGGGAGGGGGGAATCCAGCCCCTCCCCTGTCACAGCAGAGAGCCGTGACAGGATCGAGAGGTGAGCGAACCCGGTATGTGTTCGCTCACTTCCCGATCTACTGAGCCGACCAGTGGCAGTCTCATTGTCACAGGTTGGCTAGAACGATGAGGTGAGTGAAAAGCACTCACCTCATCGTTCTCCTTTAAATCCACCCTATTAAAAGAAAAACGTTTTGGATGAACATACAATAGAACAGTTTCTAAAAGCACCTACCGTGTCTTTAAAGCTCTGACGCAGATGAGTTTGTTGACTCTCTCCACCACACCAGCCACTGAAGCCAACAGCTTGTCATCTTCCATGTAGGTTCCATGACCTCTGGAAAACAAAAGTGAAGATCGTTAAATGTCAATTAAAATATTTGCCAGCCAAAAAATAAACTGCAAGCCATGAAATACTTAAAGAAGAACTCCAGTCAACAAAATATATTTACCCGTGCAGTGAGGCTACCCCCCCCCCCCCCCCCCCCCCTGAGCTGCAAGGATTAACTGCTCATTTTCCTCTAGGTACTACAACAACAACATAAATTAAGTTATATCCACATGAACCGTGAGCCTAGATCAGTCCTTCCAACCTGCCTCCCTCTCCGCTGCAGCAGTCTAAGATCGTATAAATCATCCCATTCTATACACAGTATATAGACATGAGGGTGCTGAGGGACATTCCAATGCTGCAGCGTAGGAAGAGACAGGCTTCAGTAACCAGAGAAGCTGGCCCAGCATTTCGGATGAGTATAACTTTTACTTATTTTTTAGCACCTAGACAAAAGTGAGCAGTTAACCCTTGTAGGGTTAATAAAAGTTTTGCCCGGAGAGCACAGGCTGTGTGTTCAGTACTCCAGCTCTTCATTTAGACATTGCTGTGGTGCAGAAGACCATCACACTCCCTTTTCCCCTTCACAGAAGTGATGAGATGCTAAGACTCTGCAAATTCAGAGCCATTTCAAGGGGCAGAAGAATTACCCAGTACAAATCTTTTAACTAAAACCAAGCGTGACAAAAATGACCAATGAAGCTGTAGCTGCCAACATAATACAAATCAGACACTTTGCTGCTGGGTAGGATATGTGAGACTAGCAGGAACAAAACTATACAGGAGGAAGAATGCGTACAAAACTGGAATATACAAATGTTTCACACTTTAAAGTGACACTAAACTCTGGAGTAGATTTTCTAAAAAATCTACATTCAAGAACCTCAACTATTAATAAAATTGTATCTTATTTGTGTATCACTCGGCTGTAGATCCTCAAATCATCTCTGAATTGGTGCTGACACTGTCCTTCCTTCTGGAGGGGGGCTACTTTTGTTCCCCATGGTCCCTATGTGTGTTGTAAAGTAGTCACCGCTCCAAGCTCACTGCCGTGATGGACTACAATCTATATACAAATTACTAAACTAAACGTGAGATTGTAGCCCATCACAGGAGCGAGCTTGGAGCGGTGACTACTCTACAACACACATAGGGAGCATGGGGGACAAAAGTAGCCACCCTCCAGAAGGAAGGACAGTGTCAGCACCAATTCAGAGATGATTTGAGGGTCTACAGCCGAGTGAAATACAAAATACATTTCTGTTACTATTTAAAAAAGGTACTTGAATGTATTTTTAAGATTTAACTCCGGAGTTTAGTGTCACTTTAAACGATGCTATTACTCAACAAAGCGTACATAATTCTCACAATGAACTTCTCTTCACGCCAGGCACGCAGCCCTGGTGAGCAACAAACAGTATCTGGCTTCATATAATTCTGCTTTGCTGTACAATATATTGCTGGGAGTTGTAGTCCTCTATAGCCGGTGGTATTCTGCATTGCTGTACAATATATTGCTGAGAGTTGTAGTCCTCTATAGCTGGTGGTATTCTGCATTGCTAGGAGTTGTAGTCCTCTATAGCCAGTAGTATTCTGCATTGCTGTATAATGTATTGCTGGGGGTTGTAGTCCTCTATAGCCGGTGGTATTCTGCATTGATGTATAATATATTGCTGGGAGTTGTAATCCTCTATAGCCGGTGGTATTCTGCATTGATGTATAATATATTGCTGGGAGTTGTAATCCTCTATAGCCGGTGGTATTCTGCATTGATGTATAATATATTGCTGGGAGTTGTAATCCTCTATAGCCGGTGGTATTCTGCATTGATGTATAATATATTGCTGGGAGTTGTAATCCTCTATAGCCGGTGGTATTCTGCATTGATGTATAATATATTGCTGGGAGTTGTAATCCTCTATAGCCGGTGGTATTCTGCATTGCTGCATAATGTATTGCTGGGGGTTGTAGTCCTCTATAGCCGGGGGTATTCTGCATTGCTGTACAATATATTGCTGAGAGTTGTAGTCCTCTATAGCTAATGGTATGCTGCAATGCTGGGAGTTGTAGTCCTCTATAGCCGATGGTATTCTGCATTTCTGTATAATGTATTTCTGGAAGTTGTAGTCCTCTATAGCTGGTTGTATTCTGCATTGCTGCATAATGTATTGCTGGGAGTTGTAGTCCTCTATAGCTGATGCTATTATTCTGCATTGCTGTATAATGCATTGCTGGGAGTTGTAGTCCTCTATAGCTGATGCTATTATTCTGCATTGCTGTATAATGTATTGCTGGGAGATGTAGTCCTCTATAGCAGATACTATTATTCTGCAATGCTGTATAATGTATTGCTGGGAGTTGTAGTCCTCTATAGCTGATGCTATTATTCTGCAATGCTGTATAATGTATTGCAGGGAGTTGTAGTCCTCTATAGCAGATGCTATTATTCTGCAATGCTGTATAATGTATTGCTGGGAGTTGTAGTCCTCTATAGCTAATGCTATTATTCTGCATTGCTGTATAATGTATTGCTTTGTAGTCCCTCTACAGCTTGGAGTCAGTGGCAGACCTACCAGGAACGCAGAGGTTGTAACGCTCCACCACTGACCTAAAATCATTAGGCCCCATTCAGCGGTCGGGATAGCGCGACCTTCGGGGCGACGTTCCAGCGACGATCCAGCGACGGTAGCGCGACCTTCTCCGTCGGGCTCCATAGAAAAAAGCAAAATCCGCCGAAAAAAGGGTCCTGTAGAAGCGACCGCGACGAGCGACAAGGAGCTGAGACAGCTCCGTTGAATATCATTGGCCGCCGACTTCTCGCGATATCGCTGCGATATATCGCTACGTGTGAATAGGGCCTTAGTCTGTATTGTTTTGGAAAAACTGTTACATGACTCTAAAAGATTGGTAATCAGTATCGGTGAGTACTTGAGGAAAAGTATCGGTACTCGGTCTGGAAAACATGGTATCAGTGCATCTCTACGGTAAACCTTTCATTCTGAAATTCACTTTCACAGTCTATTCATTTTTTTTAATGAAATTAAAATACAAGATAGTAAGCCCCTCCACACTCCTTACAGCGCTCCCGGCCCAAGTACTTGTAGTGTGCAAAGGTTACATTGTCGCCCTGATGAAGGGATCCTGTGCGGTCCCGAAACGTCATTTTGTATGTGACGATTGGTCCGATTAAATGGGCATCAAAAATATTTGCTGAGTGCTGGCAATTCCTGCTTTTTAATATGAAAATACAAGTTCCCCTCATTTTATGCTAAACTGGCCCATGTTATTCACTGTTCTTTATAGACGGCTACACTATGGAGAATGTGATGGCAGAGTTTTGCAATGCATCATGGGACTTGTAGTTCCACAAATGCTGGAGGGCCAGGGTTTAGCTACCCCAGCAGTATATGATATGCATTAAGCACAACACAGCTACAAAAACTGTGCTGTACAATTATGATTAGATCATTGATACTGCTCACTTGTATGCGCTGCACTATACAATATTCAATAAACACAACAAAACTGTGCTATATGCGACATAATCTGCAGTGCTCAGCTGTATACACTGTGCTGTACATGATATATTCCACTCTCCTCAGCTGTATACACTGTGCTGTACATGATATATTCCACTCTGCTGTACCTGATATATTCCACCCTGCTCAGCTGTATACACTGTGCTGTACCTGATATATTCCACTCTGCTCAGCTGTATACACTGTGCTGTACCTGATATATTCCACTCTGCTCGGCTGTATACACTGTGCTGTACCGGATATATTCCACTCTGCTCGGCTGTATACACTGTGCTGTACCTGATATATTCCACTCTGCTCAGCTGTATACACTGTGCTGTACCTGATATATACCACCCTGCTCAGCTGTATACACTGCGCTGTACATGAACACAGGGTGATCCACCATTAGGCATACAGCTGCCTGCTCCATATTCGTACTCAAGCAGTGAGGAAAGGATAAATCTGACAGCCGTGGAAAAGGCAACTTCACAAACATGTCAGCAATGGCAGCTCTGTCCATACTTCTGTCCTGACAGGTACTAAGTGTCCCCTGTGGGGGGCTGACAAGCTCCTGCACAGGCCGCAGGCCCGCCCTCACCTCATGAAGCTGGAGTCTGCGGTGATGGTGTCCCCCGGGGCCACTAGGTGGCCGGTGGTATCTGCTGTCACCGCCTCAGTCACACGTTTTCGGGCCACCGGCAACCTGATATCCACCGCCATTCTTGAACATGCACTATTTCCTAGGACATGGGCGCCGCCATCTTGGCTAGAACGGATGTCCGCTCGCAGCCATGTTGGAGGTGGCGAAAACTGCTCAAAAGCGGCCATGTTTGGTAAGGGAAAACAGAGGCACAGCGACGGCCATGTTGGTTGCTGGTGACGTGTCCTGGTCTTTGTGCGCCGTCACGTGGAGTGAAAAGATTATTACAAGCAACTGCAGGACATAAGGGACAGAGCTGAGCTCTATAAAGGGGAGTGGGTTCTATTAAATATTTATTATAGATTTTTGTTTTATAATTTAGAAACAAGCTTTTTCAGGGGTCTGTGGATTTTAGTTTTTTTTTTTAGAAAACATTTTATTGATGGGTTTCTAGCTTTGTGCTGGGGAAGGGTTTTAGGAGGCCCATAGTGGTCACCCATCCAGGGGCACCTCCTGGTTTTGAAAATCTGTCCCTGGAAAAAATAGAAATCCTTGAAAAGTCAGTGTTTAAGGGGCCAGGTCACACCAGCAATCATGTGACAGGTGCGGGTTTTCCAGCCATACCTCCCATGTGGGCACGGATGACATTTGGCACAGTGGACATAAATAGAACACGGTGATGTAAATACATAGAGGAGAATTTATTAAAACTGGAGCAGATTTGCACTGCAGCCAATCAGCTTCTATCTTTCATTTTCAAATCTTACCTGAGCAAATTGAAGAGAGATGCTGATTAAGATGCCTTGGGCACCTGCTCCAGATTCCTTGTGCTCCAGTTTTGATAAATTCCCCCCATAGAGTGTGAGCCCACTAGGTGTAAACACTGCATTGCAGTCCTTGTACTGAAAAACACGCATGTGCCCATGTTACACATATGGGTGTCAAATGAAATGGGTAAACTGAGCCTTTCACTTCGTTTTCTTTGCTGGCTACCTTGAACATGTGCTGGTGGGACCTTCTGTATTGTTATGTGTATTGTCCTTGCCATGTGCACCGTTCTACCTTTATGCTAGTCCCAAACAGATCAGTGTGGCTGCCATTGTTATAAAAGTGCAAAAACGTATCACTGCTACATCTGATGCAGAGCCCCCAGAACTCGGGTAGACATGGGCGCAGGCTGAGAGCCATCTTTGTTCCAACACAGCAACACAAGAGCACCATACCATGATCCAACCGATAATACACTTTAAATCCAGAAGGCCGAGCATTATCAGTATACCAAGATTTCCCGCCTAGAGGCCGCCTGGGCTAACGCATTTCACCCATTCAGGGCTTAATCATGGAGCATTAGAGCAGGCAGCTTCTAGGTGAGGAGTCTCTGTATGTTGGAAATGCTCAGCCTTATGGATTAAAAGTGTAATATCAGTTAGATCTCCATGTGCATCTTTGTGTGGCTGCCATTGTTGTTTTGATTTATGGCGTTGCTTCCTTGCTGGCTGAACCAATGAGGTGACGTTCTATCAATGCTTCTCTTGAATTGCCACCAGTGACAGGATCGCAAGTATGGCATGGTCCTGAGTAGTATTAAACACTATATCTTCTTTTCAATAATGACTCCAGATCAAACAAATATACAATGCCCTGCAAAGTGTTTGACAAAGCACTTACAGTCATCATGTTTCCACACAGTTAGCTCCAACTCTCTTAGCTTGGCTTCCCTGAGCTTCCTGTCCAGACAAGATCACAAGAGACAGAGCAGTCTGCAGCATGAATTAGCTTGGAGAAGAGAGGAGGGAGGAAGGAAGAGCAGGGAGAAGGGCAATGGCTTGCCTTGCTGTGTCTGTGTGTTTGTGGAGAAACACACAGCTTACTAACACACACAAGGGTGGCTCCATAGGACCCTGCAAGAGAAATAATAATAGGGTCAGTGCAGGGGACCAGATGATTCTGCGGAAAGCTAAAACTTTTAAACATTGAGGAGCAGTATCCATGGTAAGTGTGTGACAGATTGTACTGGCCACAGGGTGAGGTAATTGCCGGCTGCTATGTTAGCAATAGGTTGAAACAGGTAGTCAGTTACGCAATGGGTTAACTCACCTAAACTGGATGTGGCCAGAAGATATTAAAACAGGTGGAACATATTTTGGGCACTATTCAGCACGGGTCCATATCACGCTAGTATCGATGAATATACATGGGGTGTTATCAGGGTTGCCACCCGTCCGGGATTGGCCCGGACAGTGCGGGTTTGGAATCCTGTGCCCAGGTGCAAGCCCTTCTCACACTCGGGCACATGATTCAAACCGCAGACTTGCTCACCTGACAGCGGGCGGTGAGCAGCGGATGTCGAGCGGCGGCTGTCTTCAGTCACTCCCTCCCTCCTTCTCCCTGGTGTTCTCCTCTGCTAGTGATAGGAAGTGACATCAGAGAGAGACAGGGAGTGAGGGAGAAATCATTCTCCACAGCCTGTGCATGGCCTGGACTCTGGAGAGCTTCCTTCTTCTCATCTGTGACCGAAGCCTTCCTTCTTCACACCTGGACCTCTCAACTAATAAAAGGTATTTAAAACATTTCATCAAAACGGTTAATCAAAAATATCAATTGAAAAGGGTGAGGTGGGGGGTGGGGCTTGTTTGTAATTTGCACTAACATGGAATCTTGGTGCTGGTGACATCTGTATTGGAGTTCTATTGTGAGTGGTGCCATCCGCAGTCATTACGAGCACCCGTTACTTTGGGGATATTGGGTAAGGAGTGCAGCAAGGTATATGGATACTGCTTTGTATAGTACATATCTGAGGTCCTGTGGCATACTGGCATCTTATGGGGCCATTGTTTATGTACAGAGTGTATATCTGTGGACCTGTGGCACACTGGAATCTTATGGGGGCATCGTTTATGTACAGAGTGTATATCTGTGGACCTGTGGCACACTGGAATCTTATGGGGGCATCGTTTATGTACAGAGTGTATATCTGTAGACCTGTGGCATACTGGTATCTTATGGGGCTATTGTTTATGTACAGAGTGTATATCTGTGGACCTGTGGCACACTGGCATCTTATGGGGCCATTGTTTATGTACGGAGTGTACATCTGTGGACCTGTGGCACACTGGCATCTTATGGGGCCATTGTTTATGTACAGAGTGTACATCTGTGGACCTGTGGCACACTGGTATCTTATGGGGGCATTGCTTTTGCACAGAATGCATATCTGTGGACCTGTGGCATACTGGCATCTTATGGGGCCATTGTTTATGTACAGAGTGTACATCTGTGGACCTGTGGCACACTGGTATCTTATGGGGCCATTGTTTATGTATAGAGTGTACATTTGTGGACCTGTGGCATACTGGCATCTTATGGGGGCATTGTTTATGTGCAGAGTGTACATCTGTGGACCTGTGGCACACTGGCATCTTATGGGGCCATTGTTTATGTGAAGAGTGTACATCTGTGGACCTGTGGCACACTGGCATCTTATGGGGCCATTGTTTATGTGAAGAGTGTACATCTGTGGACCTGTGGCATATTGGCATCTTATGGGGGCATCGTTTATGTACAGAATGTATATCCGGGGACCTCTGGCACACTGGCAAGTTGTGATTAACTCCATATGATTTGTGATACATTGTGAATAACTCCAATGTTTTCTAATCACAAAATATATGCATTGTATATACTTTACAAAAAAATTGCAGCGAGGTGCTAAGTGTTCGGGTTTGGCTTGAAGAAAAGTGGCAACCCTATGTGCTATGGTGTTCACTATTTATTTGTCATTGGATATATCTGGAGTATAACCCCTCCCCAGCTCAGTGACATGCTACTCATCAACCTACAATTCAGCTATTCTTATGCGGAATACTGACAAAATGCTGTAAAGACTATGTCAATCCAGGCAGACTCCGGGTTACATACAAGATAAGGACTGTAGGTTTGTACTTAAGTTGAATTTGTATGCAAGTCAGAACAGGTACATTTTTTAAGTGTAACTCCAGCCAAAAAAACATTTATTTCGTTTTGGATAGCATAGGGAAGTGTCACGTTTGTTTTGCTGTCTGTTCCTGTTGTTCAGAAGATTAAAATATAATTTTAAAAAATGTTTTATTTAAAATGACACCCAAAAAAGTTTTTTTCTATTTTTAATTTTATTTTATAAACTTTATTTTTTATTTGTTTGCATGTTTAATTTGTATTAATTTAATTTTTAAAAAAATTTTTTGTCTTTTTAATTATATTTTGTTGTTTTTGTAAACGTTTTTTTAAAATTTTAATGCTGGAAGCAATAGCCAGCCTGCTATTGGATATTTCAAATTGCAATAGCCAATAGCAGGCTGGCTATTGCATCTGCCCACTGCCTGCTGTCAATCAGCAGAGGAAGGTCCTGAAGGAAAGAGTTCTCCATCAGGTTCTCCCATGCTGATTGATAGCTGGCAGTGGGAGGGTGCCTTTTGTTTTGCCTGTATGTTTACCAGGTGTTTAAAAGCCAAGCTTGGCACCTCTAGACCCGGTTGAAACCACAATGTCTGCGTTCCAGAGTGTTCGGCCTCTGAAATGCACTGGAGCGCAAGCCGGCCGGCTCCCTGCGTTCAGGGGCAGGAGGGGGCATGACGGTGCATTGAAGTCAATGGCACCGCAGCCACGCCCCCCACCAACAGTGCGATCGCCCGCACCTAGAATACAGGCACATCAGTGCCTGCGTTCTGGTCCAGTGCGATCTGCAAAAATCGTTCTTGCAGTATTTTTGCATATCGCACTGGACCGTAACGCAGGCACTAATGTGCCTGTGTTCCGGGTGCGGGCGATCGCACTGTGGGTGGGGGGCGTGGCTGCGGTGCCATTGACTTCAATGCACCGCCACGCCCCCTCCCGCCCCTGAACGCAGGGAGCTGGCCGGCTTGCGTTCTAGTGCTTTCCAGAGGCCGAACGCTCTGGAACGCAGACATTGTGGCGTGAACCGGCCCTTAATGAGGGGGGAAAGATGCTTGCTATGTTTAGGTAGATCTCAGAGGGAAATAGGTGTTTTTTTTTTATATATGTTTCTTGTCACCGAGTATAATAAAATTCCCATGCTTAGGATTTTTGGACTCCAGCCTCTACACGTTTATCTGCTTACTGACTGCATT